ATCACCAGTTACTTCCACTGAAATAGAAAATGAAATTGCTGCGCTAAATTCAAATAAATCAATTGATCCTTTTAGTATTCCTGTAAAAATGTTGAAACTTTTTCAAACGTCATTGTCCAAACCATTGGAAATAATATTTAATTTTTCATTTTCAGCTGGTATCGTGCCATGTAAATTCAAAATTGCCAGGGTTATACCTTTACATAAAAGCGGATCACAAACATGTATGAACAACTATAGACCAATCTCATTAATTTCAATTTTTAATAAATTGCTGGAGAAACTAATGCATAGGAGGTTAGTGAATTATATTACTGAAAAGAATATACTCTATCCCAAACAATTTTGGTTTAGATCCAATTACTCAACGGATCATGCAATACTGTGCATTACTGATACCATTCAGGGATCAATTGATAACCAAAAATACTCATGTGGTATTTTTCTTGATTTCAGTAAGGCTTTCGATACTGTTGATCATGGTATTTTGATTCGTAAATTAGAACTTTATGGCATACGAGGTATTGCGAGAGACTGGTTTATGTCATACCTAACTAAGCGAAAACAATTTGTTTCTATAAAAGATATTAACTCAGAGTATTCAAATATCTCCTGTGGTGTACCACAAGGGACTGTACTCGGTCCTATTCTTTTCCTCTTATACATTAATGACTTTACTAATTGTTCTCAAGTTTTAGAATTTCATTTATTTGCAGATGACTCCAATTTGGTTTATTCCAATAAAAATTTAAAAGATCTTGAACAGACTATTAACGAGGAACTTAAAAATGTTTCTGACTGGTTGGATGCAAATAAATTGTCATTAAATATAACCAAATCTAATTTTGTAATGTTCCATCCTGCTCAGAAGAGATTATTATTTTCATTAATTATTTATTTTAAGGATAAAATTTTGAAGGAGCGAGAATGTATTAAATGCTTAGGGGTGATGATTGACACTAATCTTAGATGGAAAGAGCATGTCAATTATCTTAATAAAAAAATTAAAAGATCTATTGGCCTGCTCTCGAAGATCAGATATTATGTTGATTTAGGCTGCCTTACTAAATTGTATCATACTTTAATTTATCCATTTTTAATATATGGTGTAGTGGCTTGGGGTAATACCTATCAAACTATCATAAATCCGTTGTTTATCTTACAAAAAAAAGCTGTTCGCATCATGACGTTTTCTAGATTTGATGATCCGTCAAGTTCTTTGTTTAAGTCAACAAAACTACTGAAACTTGCTGATATAGCATATTTGTATACATCCATTTTTATGTTTAATTAAATATCATAAACATATGCTACCACTGACATTTGATGATTTTTTCGTTAGAGTTAATGAAATACATCATTATAATACTAGACCTCCTGCCAAAACATCATATTCTCTTCCAAAAGTGAAAACAAATTATGGACAATTTAATATACGATACAATGGACCAAAAATTTGGAATTCATTGGATGAATCGATTAAATCGCTATCAATTTCTAATTTAAAAAAAAAGCACGGTGGGAAAAAAAGACAGCAAATTGGGCAAAGTTTTTATAACTTTCTGATTTTAGTTTGGAATATCACGAAACTTCCTCACTGGAAAGAACTTGCCATTCCTAAAAATCTTGTCGTTTTTGTTTTTCGATTTTGTTACATTTTGGAGGGAAAATGACGTGTAAACTTTGGCGCCAAAAAAGTAAACCCAAGCTAAGAACATGCTAGTAACTTTTTTGATGAGAATGTCCTATAAGGTTCTCAAAACTGTAAAAACATTGAAAATACAACAAGGCAGTGCGAAGATATGGCGATTCAAAGTTCGAAATAAAATCTATTTTTAGTAACAAAATAGCGGATTTTTCAGACTTTTAAGCACCATATCTTTGCACTGCTTTGGCGTATTTTGAATGTTTTACAGTTTTGAGATCCTTATAGGACAATCTCATCAAAAAAGTTGCTAGCATGTTCTTAGCTCGTGTTTAATTTTTTGGCGCCAAAGTTGGCACGTCATTCTCCCGCCAAAATGTAACAAAATCGAAAAACAAAAACGATACGATTTCTAGGAATGGCAAGTTCTATCTTGTGAGAAAGTTTCGTGAAATTCCAAACTAAAGTCAGAAAGATATAAAAAACTTGGCCCAATTTGCTGTCTTTTTTTCCCACCGTGAAGATTACTACAGCAATGTTTGATAAATATTAGCTCATTAGCCTATATATTAGGGCTAACTTAAAAACACAATGAAAAAACTCGCACAAATAGTTTACAGGTTAGCAAATTAATTTTTAAAATTTAAAATGGTTAAAAATATATATTTTTGATGAAATAATCGGCCGAAGAGCGAAGATAAAAACATAAACAACACAGAAAAATATTGAAAATATCCGAAAAGCAAAGTCTGTGAATTCAGACCTTGTGTATATAATAAAACAGTTATTCCACTCACTCTCGTCGAATATGAGCGATAGCCGACTCGGTGCTACGCGCCTCATCGGCAATCAGCTCATATTCGACTCGAGTTCGTAGAATAACTGTTAAATATTCCGTAGAGGAATATATATATATATATATATATATATATATATATATATATATATATATATATATATATATATATATATATATATATAAACAAATATCAGTTGCTATCCTGTTATATATTGCTCTATGGCTTTAAGGTCATATTGAGCACTCTACAGGATGAGCCATTGCTGCTTACGCATTGTGCGCATGCTCACTGCTTGCAGTTTGAGTACTTTGGCAATGGTTTGATGTCCCACATTCGTGAGACAACAAAGGTAACTATTAATACAAGTTACTTTCGTCTTGCTCATCAGCAATACACTGATGAGGCCCAAAAGGCCGAAACGGTACCGTCTGTAGTTATATATATATATATATATATATATATATATAATTGTTGTCTTTTCTACTTAAAATTAATTAAGTCGCAACTCTGAGTTTCACGTTTTAACGATCTTCAGGCGACGATGTATGTTCAACTAACTTTTCCTGCTTGGTGACGTTGATATCCGTTGTGCTGCTTGCGTGACTGAGTTTGCGTGCGTGATTGAGCTTGCGCACGTTCAAACTTTTCGGCCAAGAATCGTTTTTGGTGAACGCACTTCGAGAACAACTCGCGTCTTCTATTTAGCAAGTTTGACTTATCCGCTTTTAGAATGCAAAGTTTCTCTTGGAGGCAAAGGTTACATCTCTTTCCACCGCTGGAATACAATTATAAAGCTCTACTAATATTGGTGTTGAGCACTCTTCAAACTACTCAGTGCGTTCATACTTTTGTTTGAATCAACGATTATTATTGATATATATATATATATATATATATATATATATATATATATATATATATATATATATATATATATATATATATATATATATATATATATATATATATATATAGATATATTCCTCTACGGTTGCTTATTAGGTTAGCCCATTATGTACTGTTACGTTTTATAAACGAGCAGGAGTGTTTTATTAGGTTTAAGGTGGCTCCCTAGGGTTTTATTTCCGGGGGTTACGTTCTTCGTATATATATAAACTAAAACTCATATGACTTCAAAATACGAACGAAAGTGATGTTTTGTTTTATATGGAACTTTTTTGAAACAAAAGTGTGAACTTTGCTTTAGTTGAAAGCATAAAAAGAGTTCTAAAAGCCAAACCGATACTTGGATGTGATGTTTCAAAAGAAGATAATGTAAACTTTTTTTTTTCAAGCGATATTCTGGACGTTTTTTGAACCGCCGTGGCGCCGTATGCGAGGTTCGATTGCGAACATTGGGATATGATATAAAGTTTCCTCGAGAATTTGCAGTGTTTTCTCCACAATGGCACAATCCTAGCAGACTTAAATAATAAGCCCTCTACGGGTGAAATGAGCAGGGCCGAAATTCCAAACATACCACTATAAAAACTGAAATTTGAACAGGTATTTTGCGAAAGCATCCGACGATAGTACTAACTCTCACGGGACGAATTTTGTCAAACAAATTCAAATTAATACCAAGAAGTCATAACCAGTAATTACCTAAATATCTTTGCCAATTTTACATGTATAATCCACGCTTAGTTGACCATTAACCGACGCAGTTATAAACAGTATATCAAACATAATTTATATTTTGTGATTTCAAAAAAGTCAGGCCTTGTTTTATACAAAATGCATGTACACGTCAGGTGTGGTATTAAATTGTTCGCGTCAAGATCTAGTAAAAATTGCCAAAATTAAACTCAAATTTCTCCGTTTTCCTTCGGTGAAATTTTTTAAAACTTTGCACATTTTTTAATATCGGCACAACAAGTGCAATATCCTTTTTTCTTAAAATGAAATCGAAGGAAAAATTTTTAATATCGATTTTTGACGTTTTTAAGATTTTCTGAGAAACGTATCGATTTAATTTTGTTAAATTGAGAGGAAAAATTAATATACAACTATTACCTTTTATGCAAAGTTTTAAAAAATTTTACCAAAGGGAATTTTTAAAATGACCTGAAAAAGACAAATTTTGAGCTTTATTCTAAGCATGCTGTTGCCATCACAACAGATTTTTAACACAAAAGTTGCAATTTGTAATGTTCAGGAGGACATTGTCAATATGTCCAATAAATTTCGTCTTCATGTCATGTAAAGTGAAGAAACAGGAGTCTCCTGAATACTATAGTGTAGTAAATTAAAAAACCCTAGTTAGCCACCTTAAAGGCACGAGCGCGCAGCGCGAGTGGCTTTAGACCTAATAAAACACGACCTGGGAGTTTATTAAACGGCTTCAAACAAGACTACAAATTCAATAGATATACTACCTTATTAGTATTCTTTATATGAAGAATACTAATGAGGATACGACTACAATAGATACTGCCTTATTAGTATTCTTTATATAGTGTTTTATCAGGTTTAAAGCCACTGCACGTGGCATATTATGGTTGACATGATTTGCCAATAAGCTTATGAATTATTAATGAGTGTTTGAAGGTTATTTAAGCAACCGGTGTCTTGCAATTGTCTTTCTGTTGAGTGTGATAAAACTGTAAAAAATGTAAATTTATAGACACAAATAAATGTTGTTGTTGTTGTTGTTGTTGTGGTTGTTGTTGTGGTTGTTGTTGTTGTTGTTGTTGTTGTTGTTGTTGTTGTTGTTGTGGTTGTTGTTGTGGTTGTTGTTGTCGTTGTGGTTGTCGTTGTGGTTGTGGTTGTCGTTGTCGTTGTGGTTGTCGTTGTGGTTGTCGTTGTGGTTGTCGTTGTGGTTGTTGTTGTCGTTGTCGTTGTGGTTGTTGTTGTGGTTGTCGTTGTCGTTGTGGTTGTCGTTGTGGTTGTCGTTGTCGTTGTGGTTGTCGTTGTGGTTGTCGTTGTGGTTGTCGTTGTGGTTGTCGTTGTGGTTGTGGTTGTGGTTGTCGTTGTGGTTGTGGTTGTGGTTGTGGTTGTCGTTGTCGTTGTGGTTGTGGTTGTGGTTGTCGTTGTCGTTGTCGTTGTCGTTGTCGTTGTCGTTGTCGTTGTCGTTGTTGTTGTCGTTGTCGCTGTCGTTGTCGTTGTCGTTGTCGTTGTTGTTAGCCATCCAAAAGTCCCAAACATGTTTACTCCAAATTGTTCATTATTTTTCTGACTAACATTTTTATCGGACTCGTACTGGGTTCTTTTTCTCCACTTGGCAAGAAATACAAGTCATTTAATAGCCTGATTTTTCCAAATATGTAAAAAAATTGTTCATACGTTGAGTAATACACGTACAATAGCGCGCTGAAGTTCGATTACCTTTTTTTATATACACTGTATATATTTTGTGCATGATACATTAAGATAATTCACTTGCGAAGGAATGCAGTCTCTGAGTGCCCTCTAATTATTTTAAATGCACTGCGTGGCACACATCTTGTGTATTCTCAGGAACTCTCTTCCATTTTACATTAGGCGGCGTGAAACTGTTAACGATTGTAAAACTCGTTTAAAGACATTTCTATTTAGGAAGGCATTTGAACTAGTAAAGTAATTTTTAAGAATTATTATTAGTGTAATTATGTACTATTTACAACATGAGCGGCCGTGTTGTATCGGATATACAAACTCGAGCCGAAGGCGAGAGTTTGTATATCCGATACAACACGGACGCGAATATTGTAAATGGCTTAAAAAACGACTCATCTTATGAGTTTATTGGCGAAGTAATTTTAAAAATAAGCGTTGTGTAAGCCGAGAAAATCAAAGTTAAAGTTTATGTAAATCAACATGAATCTGTATCACATATACAGACTCCTTCACGCCCGTGATTTCTTTTGGTTTTTTTCTTTATGAATTATTAATGAGTTTTTTAAATACTGTTTTAAATTTTTAGGATGACTATAAGATTGTCTATACCAAGCATTTTAGAGCATAATTTATTTCTTATTGTAAATTTATTACTGTACAGCGCTTCAGAACAGGGGGTGTCGGAAGTGGGGGGGGGGGCTTTTAAGTTGGGGTGGCCAAAATGCCTTTGGGCTCCCCACTTTTAACAATGGTCAATAATAAATAAACCACAACGTTAGGAATCGGTTGTTAATAATGGGAGGGGGGCGGTGGATGAGAAAATGGGACGGCTTCAGCTATTTTTGCCTGAACTGGGGGCGGCCTCAAACTGAAAAATATTTGACAAGGAGGGACCCCAATTTTTAATACTTTCCTATTCATTTTCAATCTCTCGCCGTTATCGTATCCCACACAATATTTCACCTTTTTTAGTTCCTATAATCGTAGTTTCCATAGTTTATTACATATATGCAGTTCACCATAGGAGTTGGAGTAAATGAAAACCATTTTGAATACTGTTCCACTAATTATTTAGGCTACCGACAATGTTTTACACCAGTACTTGTCCCATTACTTATTTTACACCAGCAAATGTAACGAATTAAATGTTGGAGGGGGAGGGGGGGTCCTAAATGTTCTAGATGAAGGTAGGGGCGTCTTGAAAATAAAGGTCTTGCGATTGGGGCGGCCCTACAAAATGTCCAATATTTGGTATTTGTCACCCACCGCTCCCCTCTCATTATTAATGACCGGTCCCTTAATTGATATTATTTCAGTTACGTGTGTAGACAAGACAACTTGAGATATAAGTTCTTTGTACATTTGCATGGCGATAAAACATATAATAGTTGTGTTTGTGGAAACACCACGTAAATTTATTACTGCAGTCGAATAAATTTACTTGGTGTTTCCACAAACAAAACTATTGTAACTTGAGATATTTTATAACATTTTGTTACCTTTACAACTCTGTAAACCTGCTTCCAAAGTGCAAGAAATGGCATTTCAAAAACTATAGTTTTAAAATCTTTCCTTCGGGGAATGTCTCGGCCCCACCTGGAATGTCACCCGCTTTTGGCGGCGCTAAGTTTACCCCCTCCCCCACACCTCCACACACTTTTAGAACCGTTCCAACGACTCTGCTTTAGAATATTACTCGTTGGTATATGTCGTTACTTGTGTCTAGTAATTTTGTGTCTGTGAATCACTACTGCGTATGCTATATTCCATCAGGTCGTTCTCGTTGTTGTTTGAGTTATCCGTATCTGTGTCCATATCCGTGCCAGTCTCCGTTGTCTTCAAAAGGCACCGCTATATGTGCACAGTTGAAATAGTTAATATGTTTATGCCTATGTATTAGTTCATCTGAATTTTTCGTGACTCAAATTATATATTTACTAGAAAATACATGCATGCACAAACCTCGCCTTGCTGACAAAACCATTATATTTTGCTGACAAAACCATTGTATTTTCCGAACATGAAGTACTTAAAGTAGTTGTCATGGTAACACGATAATTTCATTAGGAATATTTTTACAATTGAAGAGTCCCCTAAATATATCACTTTTAACCACAAAATTATCAATTTCCCAAACATATATATGTTAGGCCTAGGTATGTTATTATACGTAATAACATACGCAAAACGTTAAAAATGTTCTTTACAAAACTAAACTGCATTCATCGATAAACTTTGAGTTTGAAATAAAATGATTTCAAATTTTCCCATGCAAATAATTTTGCTTCCTTTTTTATTTAAGAATTTTAATATATTAAAAAGAGTATAATCAATGATACACTGAAATTATATGCTCCAGCTCCTTTTGCATTTAAAGTATACGCACCGATCAGCTTTTAAAGCAACTTAATAGCTAATATAAAGCAAACAATACATCAATATTTAAAATTTACCTTCGTTAACGTAGGCGATTTTGCTCGCTTCTATAGCAATTCTTTTGCCTTTTTTTCTCAAAAAGCTTTTCAAGTTTATAAAATCTTGCAAAAATGAAATATATTTGCAAGAAATCATCAAAAGTGAATGCAAGAAATGTTTGCTATTTCGTTGTCGTCATGCAGTCGTTATAATGCAAATTTTAAATTGGACCAATCAGAGTTCGCTATTCATGACAGTCCGCTATATTTTGAGATCAGTGAGGATGGCCTTCCACGCACGGTTACCCACGCCCGCGATAATTGATGAACTTTAGACTTTGCTAATGCTTCCCAATCAGCACCCTCGCACGGAATCAGCACCCTCGCACGGCGCTCCGCTACGTTGGCTCGGGGATTAGCTTCCATGAGAAATGACTTAGGACGGTTGTTGAGATCTATGAATCAGGCCCAGATTTATTGAACTTTTTATCTGTAGTTTATATGTCTTATATAGAATACATAATTATTATTTGTAAAATTACACGTCTGATGTACACATTCTCTTTTCATAGTATTAATAAAGACCATACATGCATACACACATACATACACAGGGTTCAATCATCGTCCAAATATGGAAATTTACTTTTCCTGGTTGTGAGACTAAAACTCTCCAATTTCTGACAAAACTGCATTTACACTTAGTTAAATTTGGTCGTTCTAAGGCTGTTTTAATAACTATTTTATGTAAATTCTTACAAGCTGCTTGCATCTTTCTAAATTTTCTAGCCCAGCGATAAAAAATGCTCAGTATAAGTTGCTCTGCATGCGAGTATCTTAATTGGACGAGATATAACATACAATCTTCAGATGCTTCTAATTGACTGATAACTTATTAACTTGCAATGTTTCCCGCTGTTGTTGCTCTATATCTAAATTGAGTTAGCAACGTCTCTAATTTTAAACTATGCGAAGGTAAGTTGGTGTCGTGCAATATCATGTACCAAACATTTGCTTTTTGTCGAGGGACTGGTCATAATATGGCATATAGCCATTATAGCATTTTTTAGAAAAGGTATTGTTTTGTTAAAACTGCCTGGAACAAAACATGGCCACCATGCTCGCCTGTGACTGGGAAAATGTCAAACACCGCCACTTTATTAAACTCGGCTATAAAATGGACTTTTTGTTAATTAACTACTGCAATGGCATGAAAGACTTTTGTGTTTCAAACACCCACATGCAACGCTTTAAGATTTTACTCTCTCAGGCATGAATTGATATGTCTACCGTTATGAATATTCAACCTCGTACCCAGGATCTTCATTCTTGGGAAGCGAAGACTTTAGTCACAAACAGATCACGTGATCTGTTGCAAACCTTTTAATAAGGGAGGGATGGCACGTCACAGACTTAACGAGCTTAAGATGCACCAAATCTACGACGCGGACGTGACATAAAAACCGTTGCTAATGTCTGGAATCCAGTTTTATTTTGCTTCACTTGTGTCTCTAACTTTGTTTACCAACTCGAGGCCATAATTTTTATCCGTGTAGTAAAACTGTTGGAATAGTTATAGTTTTTCTTCACGTCCGCGTCGTAGATTTGGTGCATCTTAAGTTCGCTATTGTCTTCACAGAAAAACACATGACGGTCCGATCAGGATGTACTAAATTTCTTCGTTGTCTTAATTCACGTACGTGGCAATTTCTTCCAGTCCGTATTCTAATATTACTTTACGGCCTGAACAAGTAGTATCTCTTGAAATTTTATTTGTAGGCGGTCCAGATATAGCTTCAGTCCTTCCAACTGGCCATGGTAAATCTTTAATTTTCCAACTGCTACCTAGGTTAATGTTGTGCGCGAAAGCGTGTGTTCGTCAAGAGATATCGGTTGAAGAAATTGCCAAAGAAAGCAATTCAGTATCTTCTAAAATTTGTATCATTGGGACACTAAATTATTCAATCAACCAATGCAAACGCTTATAATAAGCTTTTGGATGGTCAACAGAAGACTTGTATATTTTCTTTGGTGTTGAAGGACAATTACTTGCCATAACGCGCGCTTTCGTGTAATTCAACAGCAGGCAGCACTTTCCTTGTAACAGCCCAATATGTGTGTGATTTTTGATTATTTTAAAATTATCTTAAACTTTATTATGATTATTTTAAAATTTACTATATAGTTAGCTATATTCTATGTTTCCAATATTTTATTGCTAAATGGTCCAATAAATTACATAGTAATGACGTTGGCCATCCAATTTTTTACCAGGCCCTGCTTATCAAACAGTTTTGTCTTAGAGCTGGAGAGTGTTTCACCTAAGTGATGATAAATTTTACTTTTCAAGTTAATGATTT